CTGGGTCACTGGAAAAACTCTTTAAAAAAATAAAAAATAAAAAAACTAACCGAATCATCTAGCAGCACCTTAAAGTCTAACCGAACATGTAGCTGGAGCTTTAGGGGGGAGGGTAGCCGAGTTAGTCTGTTGCAGAAAAAACAACAAATGGTTTGGTAGCACTTTATAGAAGAACCAAACATGTAGCTTGTATCCTGAGTTTTCGCAGACACAACCCACTGCTTCAGCTGACTGCAGTTGTGCCCAGGAAAGCTCATACCACCAGCTACATCATTTGTTACCATCTTTAAGGTGCTGCTAGACTTTTTCCAGGGACAGACTAGCAGGGCTACTACCCCCGAAGATTAAAAAATAAAGGGTGGTGGTGGTGTGTGTGTGTGGGGTGGGTTTTTTGGTTTTTGTGTTTTTTTTTTTAATAGCACAAGGCGCCCACCACCAATGCACTCCCCTAAATTGGCCCAGTTTGACAGCGGGGCCCATTGCAAAGTGACTGCATGTTGAACTCGAGCTGAGCAGGGGAGGGGAAACCAGGTGCAAAACTCTAAGCTTTGCATCCGTGCCTGGCTCGCCCTGTGGCAGATACTTCCCCCACTCACTTGCAAGAGACAACTGGCCGGGTGACCATTCGTCCCATAGATCTGAAGGGACCTCTCGACCACTTTAAGCGGTACCCAATGCACCTTTCAGGGAAAGCTAGTTGATTCCCTAAGGGAAATGGGGCTTCCCTGGAATGCCCCCAGTTGGAGCGCTGCTCCTTACTGACGTCCAACCACGGGGTCCTCGCAAGAACGTCTCACGAGTCCCGCCGCTGCGTGCCACAAGCTGCGTCCCTTGGTTCACTTGAAAATGGGCAACTTCGCCTTTAAGAGAAAATAGACCACGGCCCCTTTAAATCCGCTCCAGTGCGCTTCCTCCCCATCTCTCATTCTCGCGGGATTTCACGCGGGATTTCTAACGCCATACATATATTACCCAGTATGCCTCGCTCTTTCTTTTTCCGCCTCGATCCAAGATGGTGAGTGCCTGGTGGGCTGGGGGGGAGAGGGTTGAATCCGCCGCCATCCACCCCATAATCGGGGCTGTAGCCGGGCGTTACCGGGTGGGGTGGACGCACGGGAACCCGAGGGGCCCGGCCGGGGGTGTCTTTTGGGGTGTGCGGCAGCCGGAGCTGGCCTGGGCCTCGCCCTCCTGCGTCGCTGGGGTGGCTCATTTCCCGGCTGCGGGACACGGGTGAGCGGGGGTGGCCGAGCCTGGACCTGTCCCTGCGCAGGCCCATGGCGCGGTGGCTTGCAGAGGCTGTTACGTGATCCCTTCCTCCCCGACCCCCGCTCCATCTTCTCCCTATCGGGCTGAGGTTAAAGCTGCCCCCAGCCAGGGACCCACCCGCCATCTAGTATGAATACACAAAGAACAAGTTAAAAATCACTTAGGAAAGTTAGATGTCAGCAAGTCACCAGGTCCTGATGAAATGCATCCCAGGATACTCAAGGAGCTGATAGAGGAGGTATCTGAGCCTTTAGCTATGATCTTTGAAAAATCATGGCAGACAGGGGAGATTCCAGAAGACTGGAAAAGGGCAAATATTGTGCCCATCTATAAAAAGGGGAATAAGAACAACCCAGGAAACTACAGACCGGTCAGTTTAACGTCTGTCCCAGGGAAGATAATGGAGCAGGTAATTAAGGAAATCATATGCAAACACTTGGAAGGTAATAAAGTGATAGGGAATAGCCAGCATGGGTTTATGAAGAACAAGTCATGCCAAACTAATCAGATAGCTTTCTTTGATAGGATAACGAGCCTTGTGGATAAGGGAGAAGCGGTGGATGTCATATACCTAGACTTTAGTAAGGCATTTGATACGGTCTCGCATGATATTCTTATTGATAAACTAGGCAAATATAACTTAGATAGGGCCACGATAAGGTGGGTGCATAATTGGCTGGATAACCGTAGTCAGAGAGTTGTTGTTAACGGTGCTAAATCCTGCTGGAAAGGGATAACAAGTGGAGTTCCGCAAGGGTCTGTTTTGGGACCCGTACTATTCAATATCTTCATCAATGATGTAGATATTGGGATAGAGAGTACGCTTATTAAGTTTGCAGATGATACCAAACTGGGTGGGGTTGCAACTTCTTTGGAGGATAGGGACATAATTCAAAATGACCTTAGCAAGTTAGAGAAATGGTCAGAGGTAAACAGGATGAGGTTTAATAAAGAGAAATGCAAAGTGCTCCACTTAGGAAGGAACAATCAGTTCCATACATACAAGATGGGAAGCGACTGTCTAGGAAGGAGCATGGCAGAAAGGGATCTAGGGGTCATAGTGGACCACAAGTTGAATATGAGTCAACAGTGTGATGCTGTTGCCAAAAAAGCAAATATGATTCTAGGTTGTATTAACAGGTGTGTTGTAAGCAAAACTCGTGAAGTCATTCTGCCGCTCTACTCTGCGCTAGTTAGGCCTCAGCTGGAGTACTGTGTCCAGTTCTGGGCGCCACATTTCAAGAAAGATGTGGAGAAATTGGAAAGGGTACAGAGAAGAGCGACAAGAATGATTAAAGGTCTAGAGAAGCCTATGAAGCCAGGCTTCATGAACTGGGCTTGTTTAGTTTGGAAAAAAGAAGATTAAGGGGGGACATGATAGTGGTTTTCAAATATCTAAAAGGGTGTCACAAGGAGGAAGGTGAAAATTTGTTCCTCTTGGTTTCTGAGGACAGGACATGGAGTAATGGGCTTAAAGTGCAGCAGGGGAGGTTTAGATTGGACATTAGGAAAAAATTCCTAACTGTCAGGGTGGTCAAATATTGGAATAAATTGCCAAGGGAGGTGGTGGAATCTCCCTCTCTGGAGATATTTAAGAACAGGTTAGATAGACATCTGTCAGGGATGGTGTAGACGGAGCTTGATCCTGCCTTGAGGGCGGGGGGCTGGACTCGATGACCTCTCGAGGTCCCTTCCAGTCCTATTATTCTATGATTCTATGAAGAAGCTTCAAAGCTCCTGCTCTTTGGGGGAGGGGAGGTGAAGCTGGACCTGGATCCAAACCAGCCCCCTGGCTCTTCCTGTGAAATAGTTGCTCTGTAGGAAGAACATTCACGTCTAGCTCAAGTATTGCAGGAGAGGGTGAGGTGCCAGTTTATTTTGAGGGGGTGGGGGGGTGCTTTTGCTCCCATTGCATAGATGAAGAAGCTTCAAAGCTCCTGCTCTTTGGGGGAGGGGAGGTGAAGCTGGACCTGGATCCAAACCAGCCCCCTGGCTCTTCCTGTGAAATAGTTGCTCTGTAGGAAGAACATTCACGTCTAGCTCAAGTATTGCAGGAGAGGGTGAGGTGCCAGTTTATTTTGAGGGGGTGGGGGGGTGCTTTTGCTCCCATTGCATAGTGGGTGACACCACCTGTGCTAAGAGGTTTTTTGACATTAGAGTAAGATCATACAAATGGGTTGCTGTGTAGATCAATCATTTACCAGAGGCTTTGTTTTAAAAATCACAATGCTGGGGTTGAGGCCTTAGGACTACTGCAAGGGTAGGATCAAGCCTTGCATGCTAATAGGCTCTCAATTTCACAATCATCCAAGCAATGGAGGTCACTTAGCATCTCTGTTCCTTTGCAGCCAAAAGGAAAAAAGGCCAAGGGCAAGAAGGTAGCGCCTGCCCCTGCTGTCGTCAAGAAGCAGGAGGCCAAGAAGGTTGTAAATCCTCTCTTTGAGAAGAGGCCCAAGAACTTTGGCATTGGTGAGTAAATGGGTATTTGGGTTGCTTTGGGATGTTTCAGCTGCTGTTCAAGACTTAATGCTCTGAATAGGTAATGTTATTTGTCTTGGCATGTAACTAAGTTTGTCCCAGGTGTAACCAACACTTTTGTAATATTTGAAGTTGATGGCATGCTTCACAACTCTGTTCAGACATACTAGCTGCACAGACACCACCTGCTAAAATGCCACTTCGGATAAGCTAGGGACAGAAATACTGGATTTAGAAGTAGAAGGGATGGGGTGTCAGGGTAGAATAACACTTTCAAACTCTAGTTTTAACAGAGACCAGACTTCACTCTCCCAGCGTATTGACTGCTAAATTAGTTGAACAGCAGCTTTTCATACTGTGTGCAGATGATGTAAAAGAATATTTGCTATCTGAGTGATCGTGCTGACATGCATATCCACCAAGATCGCTGATGCACTCTTACTTGAGCTCCATAGGGTGCTTGCATGGCTTTGGACCATCTGAGTTGCGCCCTATGTTTCAGGACAGGATATCCAACCCAAGCGCGATCTAACACGTTTTGTGAAATGGCCCCGCTACATCAGACTCCAGCGCCAGAGATCCATCCTCTATAAACGTTTGAAGGTGCCCCCTGCAATTAACCAGTTCACCCAGGCTTTGGACCGCCAAACAGGTAAAAATTAGATCAAAAAACTTTCTAGCCTGCCTGCTAGATTGGCTCTACCTGCAATTGGGCACTGGCACAACATAATGATTAACACATTAAATATACAGGATAGTTATTAATTGAAAGGCTTTGGTGTCAGTTCTTGTTCTTGTATTTCTAGTCAAGAGCTTATCTGAAAGCTGTCAGACTAAAGCTTCACCATCTGGGAAATTTTAGATCATTTCCACTCTCCATGGTCTCCCAAAAATACAACCGCCCCTGGAGAGCATGGGGCCCAGGTGCATCATTGTAAATGGGCATTCTCCTGGATAGAGTTGGGTTTGGAGGGAACAGCAGTTAGATATATTGGTAGAATAAGGGGAAAATGGAGTTGAAAAGGAAATGGTTTATAAAAACAATAGCTGTAGAAGAATTTTCAGTTTAATGTAGAGTAACTCTCTATCTCAGGGTAAGAGAAAATATGCTGTTACAAGGAGAGGGGCAGCAAAGACTTTAGCCATAGTTCTTGCAAAAACTGGGACTTGGTTGATACTAGGGATGTATTAGTGTAGTCGACTAAGCTTATGGCTAATGCTCTAGACTACACACATTGCTCTGCCAGTATACTTTTTAGCAGACTGGCCAGCATCCTGGCTCAGTCCTGGCTTGCGCAGGATCCAGAACCTACCCCCACTGCAGCTCTGCATTTAAAGTGTATTCGGAGCCAGGTGGGCAGGCAGCCCGGCTCTGGGAGCTTAGATAGCCTGCCCAACCCCAACCAGGGCCACTACCACCCTGTGCTACTGCTTGTGATAGAGGCAGCACTGCAAAGTGGCAGGGGGCTCCTTGGAAGTGGGACTGGAGCGCACTGGCTGCTGGCCCCAACCCCGGGGACTGTAGAATAGTTGAATAATTATAGTTCAGTAATTCATTATGTTAATCGGCTAATCAATTAACTGATATTTAACATCCCTAGTTGATACTGAGTAGAGATTTATGGTGGTAGGAGTGAAACCTTTCTGGCTCCCCTGACTTGACATGCAAATGAGAAGGTACTTGCGGAGAAACAAAGCTGAAAATCAGTACTGGAGATGCCTAGTATAAAAAGATATTGTGCAAGTGATGTTAATATTTGTTTGAGGATTAATGATGACTGTTCACCAAGATCGCTGATGCACAAAAGTGTCATGCAGAGATAAGGGGGGAATTTGTGGCTTTAAAACTAATAGAATCTGGGTTTCTTTCAGCTACTCAGCTTCTGAAACTGGCTCACAAATACAGACCTGAGACCAAGCAAGAGAAGAAACAGAGGCTGCTGGCTCGTGCTGAACAGAAAGCTGCAGGAAAGGGGGATGTTCCTACTAAAAGACCACCTGTCCTCCGAGCCGGTAAACTCTTTTTTTCTACATTTGTTTGAACTTGCTGTGGTGTCCAGAGAATCAAGGCCTCAACTGAAGCATTCAGCTACAGAAAAGCAGGCTACTTCAAATCACTGATCTATGTAAGACAGAAGCAAGTGGACAAGCTATGGCAATGATGTGCGCATTTCTTGACCTGAAATACAAACTGAAGAGCAAACAATACGAGCTTTTTAACCCTGAGCTATAGCAGATTGTCCATATAATGTTCTTCACTTTAAAATCATAATGGAAGCTGGTGATTGCATGAAATATCAAAGTAATATTCCTTAACTATTGATCTATGTTCAAGCCATGTAATACGCAAAGGCCTTGTATTGGCTCTTTCAAAAACTTGGCAATAACGGACCTTACTCTAGCGATCTTGCTTTACAGGCGTCAACACTGTCACTACCTTAGTAGAGAACAAGAAAGCTCAGTTGGTAGTGATTGCCCATGATGTAGACCCCATTGAGGTACGTGGTTTCTTTTCTAATACTTCAATTTTGGATTGGATTTTGCTATTTTAGGGAATTCTGGAGCAATATCAGTAGTTCAATAATATTTCTCTAGCTGCATTGAGCTAGGAAAGGGTGAATCCATAACTGGCATTGATTTGCTAATCAGATTTGGTATCTGGCTCAGGCAGTTACGTTGACACTTATAGAAAAGAGCATACTCCTACAGAATATGCACACAAGAGAAATTTCAGATTCTTTCGAAGTTGTGAAATTTACATAGTGAGTTTGGCCATTGCAATGATGTGTGAATTTCTTCACCTGAAACTCAGCCATGAAGAGTAAAGTACACGAGCTTTTTAACCCTGAGCAATTGCCAAACACTTTATTCTTTGCATGCCACAAAACCAAAAGGTGGCCTTTATTTTTGGGACTCTGACACTGCATATCCTTAATCTGTTTCCAGTTGGTGGTCTTCCTGCCTGCCTTGTGCCGCAAAATGGGAGTTCCATATTGTATCATCAAGGGCAAGGCCAGATTGGGGCGGCTGGTCCACAGAAAGACCTGCACCAGTATTGCCTTCACACAGGTTAACCCGTAAGTGTTCCTCTAAAAATCTAAATGTGGTGTCTTAAGCTGAGAGCTGACCGCTAATTCCCATAGTTAGACTTGCTGGGGGGTGGGGGAGCAGTCTGGAATAGAAGCCTGGTGTGGCTCTTTGGAAGAGTAAGCAAACTGAACTGTAAATCGGGCCTAATAAACCCCCTATTTATGGAGGTGTCACTCTGGATATATCTGCACAGCAGTAAGAGTTATGGCTGACTGGCTCAGGACACCTGATTTTAGGCTTGGACTATGGTGTTTTAAAATTAACCATATTGTCAGACCAAAGGTCAGTCTGGCCACTGTCAGAGGACAGGATACTTGGCTAATGCCAGTTGCTCTACAGGCAATAAACAGGAAAGGTAATCAAATGACCCCTCTACTTCCTGAAGCTGGGAATGGGTGACACAGGCTAGGGGTACCTTTCCTATCCATCTTGGTTAATAGCCATTGATGAATCTATCCTTCATGAATTTATCTAGACCAAGTCATGGTCTTCAAGTTCCTCTGGCAGGGAGTTCCACAGGTTGACTGCATTATATGAAGAAATATTTCCTTTTGTTCACTTTTTTAAATCTGCTACAGTGTGGACATCTGGGGCTGGGCTGGAACCTGATTTCTGACACTGGGGGGATGGGAGGGAATAGTTTCAGTCTGCAGCATGGAGAGGCAGTGTTAAATGGTAGTTAACAGTAAAGGTGGACCTTTTGACAATGATGTGTGTATAGAATTTCTTCACCTGAAAAATTATGTGGCATTAAGAGCTTTTTAACCCTGAGACAAAAGGTTCAACAGAAATGTTGCTGTTGCTATTTGTTGGTGTTCCAAAGAAATTAATACTAGCATCTCTTCAGTGAGGATAAAGGAACCCTAGCCAAGTTGGTGGAGGCTGTCAAGACCAACTACAATGACAGATATGATGAGGTAAAAATCCCAGTCCTTACTGGCCCTCTTGTCTCCATGTCTGAGTGTCTATACACTTCCAAATTCCTTAGTTACTGGTGAGAAGCTGAAAACACTACTTGGATGCCAATAGCTAGAAATAAACAACACTGCGGCTGTCAGGCTCAGATGTGTACAGAACCATTTGGTACTTTCCATAGGCCTTATTCCAGGAATTATTCCAGAACTTCCCTGAGTTAAAATTATGGCTCCATGTGTTCCACTGTTAGTCAAGTGTTCCTTCCTTTGTATAAATTATGTACAGATTCAGTGAACACAAACCCTGAAATCGAGGGTCTAACTGGTTCATTCTTGTGGGTTTGTTCACTAAACATCCATCATTTGGGGGGGAAATGGACAGTCTTTACAGCACATGTTTGGACACTAAACACCTGGGCTGCATCATGCCAATCTAGATTTTCCAGAAATGCTTTTAACAGAAAGTCTAGATTTTCCAGAAATGCTTTTAGCAGAAAAGTTTTCTGTTAAAAATATTTTTGGAACAGAGCATCTAGATTGGCATGGACGCTTTTCCGCAAAAAGTGCTTTTGTGGAAAAGCGTCCGTGCCAATCTAGGTGTGCTTTTCTGCAAAAAAGCCCCGATCGCCATTTTTTTTGCGATCAGGGCTTTTTTGCGGAAAACAAATCTGAGCTGTCTACACTGGCCCTCTTGCGCAAAAGGGACTTTTGCCTGAACAGGAGCAGAATAGTATTTCCACAAGAAGCACTGATTTCTTACAGTAGGAAGTCAGTGCTTTTGCAGAAATTCAAGCAGCCAGTGTAGACAGCTGGCAAGTTTTTTCTGGAAAAGCAGCTGATTTTCCGGAAAAACTGCCCAGTCTAGACACAGCCCTGGAGTCAGTGACTGGTGGCTGCCCGCCATACATTAATGTAGAAACTGAACTACTCTAGTTTCACCCTGTGGAATACAGGACTGGCTAATTCTAATAACTTGACATTTATTCTGGGAAGGTTGTCTAATATTTTTTCTGAATCTTTCTCCAGATCCGTCGTCACTGGGGTGGTAATGTTTTGGGGCCAAAATCAGTGGCTCGCATTGCCAAGCTCGAGAAGGCCAAGGCTAAAGAACTGGCCACCAAGTTGGGCTAAGTGTACTAGATGTCTCCATCTTTCTGTATATATTAAAAAAATAAAGTCTAAAGGTGTTTCAGCATGGTGTCTGCTTTGGAATGGGTTTCATAAGCTGTTGTTAAAGCACTTGAGTACCTTTGGTTCTTGTCTTAGCATTTGAGTGATCAGTGCCCTAGGCATGGAGTGTAAAACCTAGCTTATGAAAAGGAAGCCTTGACCTACTGCCAAGACTCACTGAAATAAAAACCCCTTCACCTCTTGCTGCTAGTATGTAGAATGGTGGGTAACTTCTGTCTTAATAGTTACTGTAAAACCTAGTGACTTTCACCAGAAAAATCAATTCAAAATGCTGTCTTAGCTGTACAGATTTTTAAAGGAAGTGGGGGCTTGTGGCTGTGCGCTACACCTCAGGACTCCAGCTGCAAAAGTAGGAACTGAACCTGCAGCTCCTGTGCAATGTGGCACTTCACCTGTCAGTACACAACTTCCTAAGGGGACTTTTTTCCTTCTGGTTTTTACTTAAGTGCCTCCCCTGGCCATGTTCTTGTGGATTTGTTAGAAATAGCTTTAACTGGACTGGTGGTACAATCCCTACTGGGATATAGGTTAGGGATGCAAGACTAGTTGCTCTTTTAGTTGTTCAGTTCCCCTTACTGTGCTTCCTCCATTTCAATGTATAGAGTGGCAGCTCTTCATACATTTAAAAGGCAGAGCTGCAGTAGGGTTAGCTCCCAGGGCCTAACCTTGCTGCTGCTCTGCAGTTGTTCCCCTCTTCTCTCCCCCACCCCAAAAAAGACTAGTTGATGAAATGCCATTTAACATCCCTGATGTAGAAGTGGCTTGTGTTTTGTAGAAGCTCTGCTGCCACATGACTGACAGGTCTGAGACTTAAAAGGTAGGCTATCTAGCTATTTTTTTTTTTTTAAGATTGCGATGCAATAATCACAATAGGCAAGCACCAAGCTGCCCATAGTAAATTGTCACTTTAGATTACTTACCACACCTCTTTAGAATCTTAGTCCATAGTTTAGTTTTGATGTGTGTTTTCCAAGGTTTCAGTGCTTACTTTTGTTTGGGCATCTACATAACTAGCAGGGCTCAGGCTCTTTGTAACGAATATACAACCTATGCTGCTAAAACGAGTAGTCTATACTGATGATTTTAAGGTAATACTTTTTTAACATGCCTCAGGGAACAATTGCTGTACTACAGCACAGCAGTGTATTGGAGCTATGATCTGGCAATAACTTGGTAGTTACTGGATAAATACTGACTTTTTTTGTAGTTAAGCTTTTCAGTTACTAGCAGACTTACCAGCTGCTGCCTGGAATGGGGGGTGCTCTCTCCTCTTCCCTCCCCCCCAAATGGCCACAGCACTGTGCTGCTGCCTGGAATGGGGGTGTGCTCTCTCCTCTTCCCCCCCCTCCCCCCCAAATGGCCACAGCACTGGTGGGGAATGGGGGTGCTACTTACTGGAATGCTGGCAGGTGAGATGGAGTCCCACTCCCTCTGGTACAGTTGCTCCCTGACACTACAGAATAGCTCTTCCCCTACAGGTTCACTGGCTCTAGTAGTCATACTCAGATCATCTTCCTACATGAGAAGAGGAATTTTGGTGGCCCTAGCCTTCAGCAGGCAGTCTTAGAGAGACCCTCTATCCCTATGGTGTAAAACTAACTACCATTCCCAATTAAGTGTTTAGTACTTAACTCTGAAGGCTGTAAGGAGTGTAGGTAGAGAAGGGAATTCACAAAGTAGGCTATACCCACAGAAGCTCACGATACATCTACATGTTTTTGTTAACTGATAAAGTGCTACCCAACCATTCATTGTTTAGTTTTTGTTAACTGATAAAAGTGCTACCCAACCATTCATTGTTTAAGTTTATCCTGTACTGACTAACTTGGCTAGCCCCTGATGCAGTAGGAGTAAGATTACCACTACAAAGCAGGGATGTTACCTAGGTCCTGCCCCTCAAAGGAAGTTACTGTTAACAGAACTAGGGCAGGGTATCAGAATACTGACTCCCATGTCTTTTGCACAAGAATTGTAACCAGTGGACTATGGGTTAAGGAAAGGTGCACTCTTTTTCTCCCATCCCTTGTGCAGATTTAGGCATGATCAGAGTGAAGAAAAACTAGTTAAGACTGGGAGGTGTCTATCCCATTAAGGAAGCTTTAAGTGCAGGAGGTCTGATCTGCCCCACAGTTAAGACAGTTCCTGGTTCAGATTCACAGAGCACAAGACCACATATATCAAGAGCCCTTTATAAATCTGCAATCCTTGCACTGTAACATGCATTCTTAAAATAATCCTGAGGACCTGATTGTTTGACACAAGTGGACTTTAAATGAGGAATTTCTAATCATTTCCACAATCATGACAGGCATACTCAAACTAGACATGCTGTCTCCTTATGATTGATAAAGCATTTCCTGAATTATCACCTTGCAGGCAACAGTAGCCATCAATTTGAAATTAGTGCCCCTTGTAAAACAGGTAAGGCAAATGATGGCCTAAGCACTACCCAGCCAACCTCATCTAAATCACACTTTCTCAATAAGAGTTTGTTATAATAGTAGCAGTTGTTAACTCCTGGGAATCTAAAGCTCAGTTTTCACTGAGTAGCTAGAATCATGATGCCGGAACATATGGATTTCTTGTTCAGAAGCCAATCAGTTTAGGCCAGTTCATGAGCTGCACTGATTTACAGAGCAGCATAGCCACAAGCAGCACTTGAGGAGCCAGAGCCAGCTTGGGATGAAGACTCAAATAAACCCTGCAATTTTGAACTCTGGTTCTTTCACTAGCTGGAGCAGTTCCTTCTCTTTGGGTCTTCCAACAGCTTGGGGTCTTGTCTGTTGCACTGGGGAATGATCCACAAGGACCTTCTCTCAGAGGGGTATTTTTTGTATGAACTTTCTGTACCACATGTAGGATGTTGCAGCACACAAGCCATACCTGCAAATGAGAATGGAAGAGCCAGTCAGAAAGGAAACAAAAAACAGGACTATGTAGCCCTTTAAAGACTAACAAGATAGTTTATTAGGTGATGAGGTTTCATGGGCCAGACCCACTTCCTCAGATCAAATTGTGGAAGAAAATAGGCATGACCATATATACCAAAGGGATACAATCACAAAAAGTGAACACAAATCAAATTCCAGAACAGAGGGGAGATGGAGGGAGGAAGGTAAATGTCTGTGAGCTAATGATATTAGATACTGATAGTTTTCTTGGGTCTGTCTTGAAGAAGATGGTTTCTGGGTATTCATCTGGCTCTTTCAATTTGTTTTTTTATTTCTCCAGGTGGGTAATTGAGGTTTATAAATGCTTGGTAGAGATCCTGAAGTTTCTGGTCTCTGTCAGTGGGATTAGAGCAGATGCAGTTGTATCGAAGGGCTTGGCTATAGATGGTGGATCGTATGGTGTGTTCTGGATGGGAGCTAGAGGCATGAAGGTAACTGTATGAGTCAGCAAATTGAAAGAGCCAGACGAATACCCAGAAACCATCTACTTCAAGACAGACCCAAGAAAACCAACAATAGAACACCACTTGTCTTCACCTATAGCCCCCAACTTAAACCCATCCAACACATTATCAATAAACTAGAACAGGATACTACACTCCGAGAGGTTCTGGGAGACAGACCCATAGTCTCCTACAGACAATCACCTAACCTCAGGATGATTTTTACGAACAACCACAGGACATACCACACTAATACCAACCTTGGAACTTTTCCTTGCTACGTAGTCCTGTTTTTTGTTTCAGCTAGATTAGACTAACACGGCTACATCTCTACTGCTACACATTCAGTGGGTGAGACACTTTTGCAGCTGCAGAGCAGTACAAAGTTGTAATTTGTGTTAGTGGAGCATCTGCCATCAACAAGTGTCCAAGCATTTTACATGCGTTAATTAGGCTCATTTTACAGATAGGGAAATGCAGAAAGGCTTAGTGATTTGTGCCTGACCACAAAGTGAAGCAGGAGAAAAGCTACGTTTTCTAGTCTCTCACTTTCAACCCTCCCACAGTCATAACATGTCAATGTTATATGAGGGAGACACTTCAAATTCTGGAAGGAGAAGTAATAGTAAATGCAGGCCAGGTACCTTACCAGGTTATTACGTACTGCATATGTTCATTCCTCAAGGTCACTCTTGTCTGGCCTCCAATGGGTCCCCCTGGGACTGTGCTCCCTATAAGCATTATATAATATATCAGCTTAAAAACATGCCTAAAGCAACACTTAGCACAATGTGGTTTCGGTCTACGACTAGGGCTTCAAGGGGCTATGGTAAAATAAAGCAATAGGCTGCATTGCACCTGACTGTTCTAGAATCAGAAGTACAATGGGGACAGTCTCTCCCCCATCCTATTGCTTATTGTGTCCACAAGGTTCTTGAGCTCTGCAAAACCTACGGCTATTGCAGACAGTAAATGGTAAATGATGTAAATGGTATTTGTGCTGTAGTAGCAGTATGTAGAACAAGTGCTGTGTTTCTTCCTGAGCCCATACACATGAAACGTGTTTTCATACATACATGGGTGTTGGCTTGGCCACTTGCTCTATGAATGAAGGTCAGAGCATAGAATTTTCATATTGAGCTGTCACTCTGCCTTGCTGAAAATCTTCAAGACAGTAAACGTGGCAAAATACAGGAAACAAAGATGCAATATCTCTGTGCCCAACCTACTGTCTTGAAATGCCTAAGTTACTAGGGCTATAAAAAGAGTACTGAAGTCTAAAACAATTAATGAATGAATATCATTTTTACACTGAAAAGAATAAGCAAGGTGATTATGTCAGTGACTGCACTAGGACTCACTTGCCTCCTACAGGTTTCAGAGTAAGAGACCAGTCTCAGACTGAGCAGGGGAAAGGCCCATGCAAATTGGACAAAAGGCAAAGAATTCGCTTCCCCTCTGTCTTACTGAAATCTGCATCGATAAAGATGGGCTCAGCACCAGTCACCCTCGCCATAGCCTCTAGGTCACGATAATGCCAGCGGTTCTTTTCTATGTTGTTTTCAGGCACAAAAGGCTTCCGGGTTTCTGACAGCCTCACCACCCCAATGAGGTCTATTTCATCTCGGATCTAAAGAAAGGAGGGGGAAAAAAACCACAACAGGATTTCTTTGCAGCTCACACCTTTTCAAAATTCACTTGGGCTCTGGTGAATATTTATCTGGGTCATAAAGGCCCAGGGATGGGAGAACTGGTGGTGCAGCAGGTTAGGACAGAGGTGTGTGTGGTGTAGCAGGAGAACAAGTCAGTATCAGTTTTTCAGTTTAAAAAACCACTACATTCATCCAAGCCAGTGAGGGAAAAAAGCCCATCTGCTTTGAGAAGTAGAAGGAATCCTTCCACTTCAAGATATTGCATAGTCACATGACCTACTTGTGCCAAATACACAGAGAAGCCTTACTTGGCATATTTAAAGCTTGTCCCAGGGAATAACAGAGCAAAGCTCTAGTTTGTGAGGCTTTATTCCTCTTACCTGTCCTTTCAGTCTCGTCTCTGGTTTCACCCTCTTTTTAGGGACAAATCCTCGATTGACTAGAATTGTGATCCTACAGTTATACAGAAAAATGAAGAAAAGAGGAAAAGTCCTTCATGAGTAAAAGAAGAGTCCCACCACCTTACTCTACCTCCTGAATGATTCACCAAGGAGATTAGAAAGCCATGCATTTGGTGGCTACTTTTCAGCCTGCTAAATGTTGAGGATTATAATGGGTTTTACACATAATTAGAAGACAAGGCTCAGCGGCCCTACTGGTTATCAGGAAGATCCCTATAAGGGGAAAACTAATGATTTATACAAGAAATCCAACTGCTTCAATTCAGCCTTTGGAGGGGAGGAACAAGCTGCATGCTCTTCAGGGTTTCACTTGCATGGCTTTAGCACTGCAGGAGTATGCTATGCACATGATTTGTTAGTTAGCATCTGAACATACTCACCCTAGGTCTGTGCAGTAGAAAGGAGTAATGACATTTGCTCCACTCTCTGGATTGGATGTCAGGCTTCCAGCTTCTCTGGCCTCTCGTTCAGGATTCACCAATGAACGAGGCAAAATATACAGCTCTTTGGAGTGGTCAAAATACCCTCGGACCTTAACAGACCTGTACTCCAGCTCCTTCAGCTCCATGGGGCTGCAGGGAAACAGGATGCACTGAGATGACAAATGCAATTAGTTACGTAATTTCACTTAGGATTTCTCTCCTTCTGGTTATTCCCTCAAGGACAATTTGCAAGGTGGCAAGTAACGCAAGAAAGGAAGGCACCAGCAACAGTGAAAAGAAGCGTGTTGAAGGGATGGGGGAAAGGGGATGGTCATTGTCCCCGAGATAAGCAGTTGGCTTCATAATTAGATGGCACAAGAGAAAAGGTTACATCAATTCATCGTACGATCAGTTAGCAGTATTCTGACTGTATCCACAAATGCAGATCGCCTCCTTTCCATGCCACTTGCAGCCAAACAAGGTCCTGCTAACACAACATGAGAGATTTCCCTTCCTTTTTTCCATCCCCAAACATGCACATATTGGGAGTGTTTTCAGAGTCAATATTGGATGGCCGTTTGATAACAGAACCCTTCTCACACACTGCTTGACTCCATCCGACAAACTGTTTCCATGCTCAGGCAGAACCCAGGTACTGTGGGCATGATCCAAAGCCCTCTGAAATCGATGGGAATCTTTCCAGACTTCAGTAGGCTGTGGACTGAATCCCAAGCACTCTCTCTTCTTTTAAGTCCCTCCTATGCAGTGTTTCTTAAACTTTTTAAGACCAAGGAACACTAAACAATTTCTTTTAATGGGGAACACCAAGGATTTTTGTTGAGGGGAGAAAAAAAAAAAGAAGCATGACCCTTTTAAGGACAAGCAAAATGCAGGACAATGTAGCACTTTAAAGGAAGCATGGCCCTTTTAAGGACGGCCATTTGAACTCTATTCTCTCCAGATATGGTGACCATATTTTCTGAACCAAAATTAGGGACACATTACCTACACCCCGACCTCTGTTTACTATGCCCCTGACTCTCAGGGTCAAGATGGACACACGATCAGAAGAAAAAGTAACCCCCTCTAAGAACTTTTCCCACCATCCTCCTATCCGTAGGGGATGAGTTTGGCCCCCATCGAACCCTCTCTCCTCTGGTGCTGATCTCTCCCCTGCAGGTGTCTGCCCTTCTGCTTCACCCCCAGAATCCCCTGGCACCTGCACCTTGCCTTACCCCTGCACCCTCCTGGTGCTTCCTCCTTCCCTCACTGCCCCTTCCCCCTTGCCCTCTTTCTTCCTGATGCCCCAGTTCCTCTCATGCCCCTCTGTGCTCTTGCACGACTTGCTCCATCCCCGCCTTCCGCATGCGCACCCCTCCTTTCAACCCTTCTCCCAGCACCTTCCCCTCCCCTCGCTTCCTCTTGCCCCCAATGCCCTTCCCCTCTCCTCACCTTGTCCCCTCCACCCTCCCACCCCCACTGACACCTCCCCTCCCTTTTCCTGCCCTTTTCCTCATTGTCTCCACTTGGCCCCCTGGCATTTGTTTCTCCTCCACCCTGTGCCTTGGTGCCTTTTTTCTTTCTTCTCCTGCCCTGTCCACCCTCCCCTCAGCACAAGTCCCTTCCTCTCCCACCCTCCTTCCCCCTAGTTCTCTCCAAGCCCCTCCCCCACCTTCTGCCTTCCAGTTTGCGGGGCTGGAGTCTGTGGTCGGGCCCCAGAAGTCCCCGCAGCCCTGGCCCTAGCTGCTTCCAAGGCAGGACTGCTTGCCGGGCCTGGAGCTGGGCTGCCTGCAGTGGCAATGTTAGCGCTGCATTCCAGTCCCCGCACTAGCCTTGGCTCCCATTACGAGGAGCAACAAGGGGTGGGGTGGGGTGGGGTGGGGGATGAGAAAGCCTCCACCCTCCCAGATTTGGCTTGTGGGGGGCAGCAGCGGGCGCATCGGTAGAGCCCGAATGTTCCCCACTCTGCAGCGCTCCAGCTGGGACTCTGGTGGCAGCTCCCAGGAGCGGCTTGCTGGGTTTGACCCCCAACCAGCAGCAGTGGCAGCCACCTGTGGATGGAGGAGGCTTGGCTGCTGGTGGCACATGGCGGAGGCAGTACTTCAGCGGGAGGGAAGGCCCACGCAGTGTGGGGGAGGGGTTTGCCGGACACTGGTGCATGGTGCTGATCTCAGAGCTCTGGATACTGCGCACCACTGGCAGCGGCCCTGGCTGCCCGCGTAAAGCACCAAGGGAGCCGCTTATGTGCTGGGTGGAGGCGGGGAGCTGCTGCTGTGCTGCGCTAGCGCTGGGTGACTTTAAATCCGGGACTGTCCCGGAAAGAAGGGACGTATGGTCACCATATCTCCGTGGCACACCTCTGACTGCCTGTGTAAGAAATGCTGCTCCTATGATCTCATCCCTGGCAATACCTCTAATAGCTTCCTACCCAGAGGATTATCCTGTGCATCGTTCTTGTCTCAATTATACTGCAAGCTCTACAAGCCAGGGACCTTGCCTTTTCACACGTCTTTAATGTCCTGAGTATATTGTTGGCACCCCATGATGCCTCTCCCAGGGACATGTTCACAGTTCCTATTTAAAATAGTGGAACTACCATTTAACTTCGCTCCTTGCTTGTCCACATTACTTTTTGTGGCATTCCTTCACTTGTACATTGTCTAGTAAGCCTCCTGGAGCAAGGGCCACTTCAAAAGTTCCTAGCTCATCATTGGAGCCACATTAACAGTAACAACTCAGCTCCCACACTTACTCTATAGGAAGAGGAGTGGGCTCTGATGCTACTCTTGACTCCAAATCTGCTATCAATTTTAGCTTCCATTTCCGACGCTGGACCTAGGAATGAACAGATGTGCAAGTATTAGCGTGCAACAGTGTCATATACTGTGGAGTTGTTTATAACAAATTCTTTCAAATTTGGAAAGGAAATCCATCTCATCGTCAGGATTTTTTCCTCCATCATTGGTCATGCTGGTCTATTACAAGAAAGGTTATGATATGAAGAGAGATTACTACATTTTGGGAAAGAAAAAAAAAGTACTGAATCATGAATTTAAGGACAATGAATTTCCCATCCTAAAACATGCATGGACTTTACCAATAGACACAAAGGGAAAAAAAACCAAGTCAAATTTGGCCTTTATGTTGTCACTTACTAAGGCCACGTCTTCGAGTGCGGTCATTCTGAACAGTTTCCACTCCTTCCTAAGTACTCAAATAAATATCTCAGGAGAATGAAATGGTGGCATTTACCTGCCATGTACCAAGACAAAATGTGGTGATGGGGATCAGTAAAAGGCCCCATTTGAGTAAGTCATCCTCTTCAGTTTTACCAGAGGCTGCTGAGGAACTTCTACGTCTGCAGGGTCTCAAGCAAATCTCTGGAATACATTATAATGAGAAAGGATTTGTGCAGTAAGGACCCAGCTAAATTCCGGAAGGATTTGCACCATCAGAAACGGAAAGTGAACGTGCTCCAAAGCTACCATTCTATTGATGGAATGTTAGTCAGTTATTTTATTTACATTTGACAATGTATCTATTAATAAGATACTTGGAGATTTGCATTGTCAGAAAACTTTATAGGTAGTTAACCTTCCCAGCATTCTTTGGGGTAGGTGAAAGAACTCAACAGCTTTTAATTACATTGAATCCTAATACTTTTTAAGCACAAAATAATTACCTAGCAGAAGCTGTTCCTCTTTTCACTCTCTCCATACCAAATATTGTTGCAATGCAGCACATGTACAAGGCTACTAAATTATGACACCTTCTGGAATAAGACAAATAGGGAGTAAGAGCCAAAAAATTCTTCCTTACCTTTATTTTGCTGAATCAGACCAGAATGTGCTCTAATAAGAGGATATCCAAAAAACTTGTTTCTGAGCAAACAATTTGGTATCTAAACAAAAAGACAGACATCTTGTAGCCATTCTGCTTTAATAAACAACAATGGTCCTGTAGCACCTTAGAGACTAACACAAATACATACATAGCATCATGTGCTTTATTGGGCAGAACCCGCTTCTTCAGATGACAAATATGGAGCAAGCGGCACACAGTTTGAGATATAAAACAGAAAAAGAGGGGAGAAATGGAGAAGAAAGAAGGGGAAAAAAACCTGTCAATTAAAGTGTCAGTGCTAAATGAGGCTAATAGAGTAGGATCTACATGCCTGATACTTACCCTTTGATGTCATCTATTTTGCAATTAGTCTCAGATGATAATGGTTGTTATAGTAACATTACCAAATAAGAGAAAATGGTATTCTTTTTTGCAGGGGAAATATTTTGCTAGATCTCATCTGAACTATTATCCCTAAATCATTCTAATTTAGATTACAATGTAAAGAATTTAAAATCAAATTCCAACTGTAGGCATATAGTTCAATTAAGACTCCTTCATAACATTCTGTATTAGAAATCATAAACAGCATCCTAATTTGTTCTCTCTTAACTCTAACCCTTGCTATAAATTAGGGATATAAAATCCCATTTACTTGGTTAACCACTAAGGGCTATGTCTACACCATGCTGTTTTGCGCAAGAAATATGCAAATGAGGCAAAGCATGGAATAGCACCATGCCTCATTTGCATAATTAACGAGCACCTGCTTTTTGTGCAAGAGGCTTTTGCGGAAGAGCCACTCTTCCTGAAAAAAGTGGAAAAAGGCTCTTGCGCAAGAGGGGGGCTTTGCGCAAAAAGGAGCCGTGTAGCCGGCTTCTTTTTGAGCAAAAGCCTCTTGCACAAAAGTGACTGCTCATTAATTATGTAAATGAGGCACAACGATATTCCATGCTTTGCCTCATTTGCATATTTATTGCACAAAACAGCGCAGTGTAGACGTAGACTAAATGTAGCATTTAACCCAGGCCTGGGCAAAAGATGATCTGTGGGCGAGAGCCTCAGCCGGTTCCCTGCCTGCCCTGCCCTGCCCCTGCTTGACACTCTGGAAAGCCAGCTTCAGGGCCACCTGGGAGTTTCTGAATGCTGACAGTCTGGAGGGAGGGGAGCCAGGCTTCTCATGCTGCCCCTACCCCAATAGCACCCATTGGCTGGTTTCACACAATAGCAGCTGCCTGCTTGCAGGACAGACAGCATGTGAAGTGACCCTCCTCCCTCATCCCCCCATACATCATTCCATTCAGACCAGTAAACATGGCTTCTGCAGCTCCCCTGAGAATATACAGGGGTTGGAAAGCAGGGCCCCTGGCTAAGAAAACTGCTGGGCTGCTGGCTGGGAGCCAGGTAAGGTCTCCCAACCAGAGCCTGTCTCTGGCGCCCCAGCCTCTCTCTCCCTACCCCATGTAACTCAAACCTTCTGTACTCCTGCCAAAGCCCCTATACACCTTCCATACACTGCATCCCCCTCCTACAACCTGCTCAGGTCACAACCCCCTCTCAGACCTTGCACCCCAATCTGCTGCCCCCAGCACAACTCAAATCCCTGCACCCTGTCTTGCACTACTCCCCTGGTCACAACCACCTCCTAGGCCCAGCACATCTCCTCCTACATCCCTCCCCGGGACCAGAATTCTCTCCTGCATCCATACTCAACCCAGACCCTGCACCCCATTCCCCTGTCCCAGGTCACAACCCAAATTTCTGCACCCCTACCCCAGGTCATACTCCCCTCCCAAACCCTGCACCTCCACCTCAACCCAGTCCTTTGCCCCAGGTCACGATCCCCTTTTCACCCAAACTCCCTCACAGGTCTCTCACCCCAATCCCTTACCCTACAACCACTTCTGCAACCAACCTCCATACCAGACCCCCACACCTCCTCCATTAATATAATGGTAGAGTGTGGCCCTCGATCACTTACAAAATTTTTGGAGTTGCCCCCCCATGAAAAATTATTGCCCTTACCTGGTTTAACTGGTTAACTAATTAAAGGGGGTTGCGTGGTCTGGAGTGCCTCATTCCATGACAGGACCCATGAGGCTGGAGTGGGCCCCTGCCTGTGGTAGGCAGGTAGCTGTTCCAACCCCCAACGGGTAACCCTTAACTGGATGATGCTTAGCAGTTAACCTTTCACATTCCTAAATATAAATGTCATCAGAGTTCTGGTATTTCATAACTTTGGATCTTCATTAAATCAAATGGCATATTACCACTTAACAGCCACGGCCAGATTCAAATAACTTGTCTCCTACCAGCAATACCATGTTGATTAATAACACACTGACAGCTGTCAGTCTTTATTGGTCAAATTTTAGAATTAGCTTCATTTAGATCTGGATGCTGCTGATCAATCCCTGACAAGAGGTCCCATTTCTCTCTGGCCTTCTGTCATCTCACAAGCTCAACATCGAGTTTACAAAAATAAAACACAAAACCTTCCAGAAGTGATGCATTGACTGCAGATGCAAGCAGAGCAACTAGGATGTGTTCAGCACTGGCCTAGGCTCACAGGAAGTCAGAAACATTAACTAAACACTTAGGAAACACACTGTGTGGTCGATAACCCTGCAGTAATAAACACTTGGAATTTAATAAATCCTTCGAAGATTTTGGAACGGATTAGAATGCTGCGTGACTTTTCAGTGACTAGACAGATGGAGAGTCGTTGACAGCCGCCATTGTACACGTTCCCGTTTGCCAGCATCTGACGAACTGGTTTTACCC